AGAATAAAAGTGAGAGCAAACTCCCCTTTGTGCCTTGGAAGGGCCTTTCCATCTGTGACATCTCCCGCCTCTCAGAGTTAATGAAGGGAGCAGGAGGCCTCTGGGAACTGGGTCAGTGGCAGCTCCAGCACAGGGCAGCTTAATTAAGGAAGGAAAGTGAGCGAGGGGGCAGGAACCCGGCGTGGCCAGCCAGGAGAGCAGCTGGGTTTGGGTAAGCTGATGAAACTGCATTTCCACCTGCCCTAGTGAGCTGCCTCGTGGTGTTCCCCATAGGCTGGAAGATACAATCTGCACTGCCAAGGACAGCCCTGCAAGCTGTTCTGCTCCTGACCTCTCCCTGAGCGATGGACTAGCCACATTTCCTTTCTGTTAAAGCACACTTGCTTGGCTCCAGTACTCCTCACAGGGCCAACAGACCCACTTTCAGACTTGGCAGTTGTCTTGCAAGAAATCTGTTCCTGGGCTGAAGTGATCCAGCGTGGCTTGGGCCATGTTTCCTTGTCTTCTTTGACATTACCTGACAGGCTCTAAAGATGGTAAAAAAACCCCAAATCCTAAGAAATCCTTAGGGCTGTGTCAACCCAGAACAAGGGAGAGCTGCTTTCACTGTGGGAATGTGAGATGAGAAACAACATTTGCTCCCAAGAATTTGGGGGGTGTGTGGTTGATTATAAACCCTACTGAGATACCTGGACCCAGATGCAACTTTCCTAACAGCACAGGGTCAGTCAAAATTGCAGTCTTTATGTGGCCCCATTGCTTTCAGAAGCTAATTTTTATTCAGCCAGTGTGTCTCAGAACAATGGGAAGGTGTTCCTTCTACCTCACAAAGTGTTGGCAGGGGGACGGGGAGCATGGAAGCAGCAGTGCTGGTCCTGAGAACTGTGCTCTGTTGCTGCCCCTCAGGGAATTGCACAAGAGCCACACAGGCCTCTGGTTTGTGTTGACTAATTAGCTGAGTAATGCAATCTCTTTTTGAATGTCCTTCCTGTTCTAGATCAAGAATGAGACATGCACTGGTTAAATGACTTACCTGAGGTCACACGGGGAGTGACTCATTGGCAGAGGCAGGAATTAACACCCGGTATCGTTAAATTCCTACTTCCTACACCCCATGGCCTCTGATTTCTAGTGCTCTTCTCTTTCATCTCCTGGCCTTTTCACCTGTTTCTCACTGCAGGATTCGTCACACGTGCGATTTCCAAGGTGACAGTATCTGACCACTGCCAAGAAAACGAGACATCTGTCCTTTGCTGCAGACATCTACTGATAGACAAAGAAGCTGAAGTTCCTTTTATTTCTTATCTTTTTGGAGCATTTTACCATGTTCTGCCTGAGCTGGTGCAGTGCCAAGTCTCCTCTGTGTCCAAGCCTCCAGCATTGCACATGCTGAAGGTGTTAGGCTGTCTTCTAATGTTATTTTCTGTTTTTCCAGAAGCATCTTTGCTGCAGTCTCCCTGAAGCGGGAACATTCTGGCCATACCCACTGTTAGTATAATAACATAATCACTCACAAAAAATCAGTGGGTGGGTTTTATAAATCCCAGTTCAGTGTTCAGCAAGGTATAACATCTGTTGTGATCAATATTTGAGTAAGCCTCTTTGATAAAAAGTTACAGTAAAGCCTTTTGCTTCCTACTGAATAGCTAAATAATTCACAGGAGTGGCTGTAATCACTTTAAGCTTCTTGAGTTTCAAAGTAAGCAGAAAATTCAGAGTAATTCTGTGGAGAGGCAGGATAGCCAGCTGGATCGTGTTCCTTAGGAGCTGCTGTACTGGGAATGAAGCCCTTTAAGGTTTTTAATGGCTCCTGACGTATGCTGGAGTCAAATCGGGCAAAAAACGGTCTCTTTTATCATCCGTTTTTGATGATAATCTTTATGATACTCTGGCGGGTAAGTGCCAGCAGTCAGTGCAGAAATGATGCCTCGTGTTTGAAAAGTCTGCAGGAGCGGGAGTGTCGGGTGCGGCGGGAGAGGAGGGCGCTGGTGTGAGCGGCACCTGCTGCCACAGGGCTGGGCACGGACAGCGGCACGGGAGGCTCCGCCCGGGCTGGGGCCGCGCTGATGCCGGAGGAGCGGCCACCGCAGGGCTCGGCCCAGCCCCGCCCGGCCCGGCCCGGCCCCTCCGCTGCCGCCGGGGCGGGCGCAGGTGAGAGAGGGCGGGGGTTGCGGGGCGATGGCCCGCAGAGCCTGCTGGCTCCCGCTGCTGCTGCTCCTGCTCCTGCTGCTGCTGCCGCCGGCCCTGCCCGCCGGGTGTGCGGCCCGCGGGCTGTGCTGCCCCGGCCGCGACCCCGCCTGCCTCAGCACCGGCCGGCGGCCCGACGGCTCCTCCGGGCCCTGCTACTGCGACCAGGCGTGTGTCCTCACCCTCGACTGCTGCCACGACTATGCCGAGACCTGCCCGGGTGAGGGGCTGGGGCTGGGGCTGGGGCTGGGGCTGGGCTGGGCTGGGCTGGGCTGGGCTGGGCTGCCCCGAGCGGAGCGGTCCGTGCCCCCTCGGGCTCTGGCCGCGTGTCCGGGCACCGCCGTGGGGCGGCCGAAGGAGCGGTGATGCTGCGGGCGCTCCGCTCCCCACCTGGGCTGTGGCTCTCGGAGGGGCCGGGTCCCGCCGGGGTCCCGTTGGAGCAGGAGCTCGCTGGGCAGGTCAGGATGCTTCTGCGTCTTCCTACGGGACAGAAACGTGAAACGGGACGTCTCCTGACTGAGTCAGAATCGCCCCGTCCCTTTCCCTCTTGTGGATTGAATTACTGTGGGTGGGATCAGATCTGCTGCTCCTGTCAGTCCGTGCTGTCCTGCAAAAGGCATGGGCAGCTGCAGCTTCAGGTTTCACCTGGCGAGAGCCTGGACCCCGATGCCCGTGCGGCTGTGTCGGGGTCCCGGGGAGCGCAGCAGTGCTCCCTCCAGGGACGACGTCTGCTAAGTGCGGATGTGAATTAAGGAGAAAAGTTACTTTAGTAAGGGGAACGATCTCATGCTCGCTTCCAATAAACAGCATCCTCAAGGATTCTCACTGCTCACATAATGCCTTTGATTTCAAACCTGCACAGATGTGCCAAAGCCGAGTTGCGCTCCAGGCAGACGGGCAGACGTTCCTGTGATTTGTCTTTTTCCTTTCAATACAGAGCTGGAAAATGGGTTGGAAATAAGTTAATTCGAGGGTGATTTAAGCAAGGTATGTCTGTGGATGAGGCCAGGCTGGTGGATCTGTAGACCCACAGCTCCCAAGGGCAGCAGGGAGCATGGAAGTGCAGCTGCTGGGATGCCTGAAACTTGCCCCTCCCCTCCCTAGGAAGGACACCCAGTGCTGCAGGGCCGTGACTGGGCTCCCCTGCTGCTGGGGCTGTTCAGGAGCTGTGTTGGTGCTGGATGCCCCTGTGCCTTTGGTGCCTGACAGCTATTGGGCTCTCAGCTGCTCCCTCAGCACCTCTGTGTCCGAATCCTGCTGCTCTTGGCGGTTGTCAGGGATAAGTGGGATGGACAGGAGCCTCTTGTGTCTATTCATACAGCTGAGTAATAAGGAAAATGTGTTGGCAGGATGTGGTCAGGCACTGTGAAGGGACAGCTGCTCCCCAGGGAACAGCAGCACCTGCTCCCTGAGGTGCAGCAGTGCCTGCTCACTGGGAGCTGCCAGAGCTGCTGCTCTGCAGGGTGAGGTGTTTCTGTGTTATTTCTTGTGATTTGTTTGTCCTGGAGGTCAGGGACTCAGCTCTACTTTGACTTGCATTGACTCCACAGCCTAACCTTTTCCAGCAGTTTTCTTTCATTCACTGCTCAAGGGCTACTTTATCAAACTGACTTGTAAAGCAAAATATTAAAGAAAATACGTTAATGTCATCAAACAAAACTGAAGAGCTCAATATTCTGATCAAATGTACAAAGGGATGATAAAGTTGGGTAGCCTACAGTCTGATGCAAAGGCTTATTTGTGGTGTGTTGCTGCATATAAGAAATGTCACAATTACTTAGATAATTGATTTAATGCCTAGTCTTTCAATAGGTTTAAAAAGCTGTTTGTGTTGACTTCAGACAAAAAAGAAAAGCAGTAGTATTTGAATGATCATCCTAAAGTTTCTGAGGACAAAGGCAGTTTCCAGTGAGGTTCATGCTGAAGTTAGGGTTGTCTGTGTTCTGAGGGAGAATAAATTGAAGCATCAAGCTTGAGCTGCTCAGAAAGGCTGGGATTTGTCCCAGCATTCAGCAGGTCATGTTCCAGTGAGATCACTGGGACTCAGGGTTGTGCATGCCCTTGTAAGTGCAGTGGTAATGTCTGGAGTTACCTGGAGTGGTAATGGACATCACCTTGGAGTGGTAATGTCTGTTACTGTAGGTCCTGAGCACAGTGGCCTTTCTGAGTGGGTTTGAATGGGCTCATCCACATCTTTAAATTGAGTGATAGAGCAGCAGAGGAGCTGGACTGGGAACCAGGAAGTTCCTCATGCCTGAGCTTGGCAGTCAGGGGTCACGCGTGGGGGGTTTGCCTCAGGTGCTCACAGGGACTTTGGTGGAAGGCAGCCCTTGGCTCAGTGTGTTCACGGGGGTGTGGGCTGGCCAGCAGCTCTGTGTGCCTGAGGCACCCGGGGGCTGAACCAGCAAGGGAGTGACCCCTTGTTCACTGACAGCTGACAGCGGAGGTCCTGGCAGGGTGTGTTGTCCTACACTGACCCAGCTCGGGCACGAGGTGCAGAAATGCAAGGAGAGGGACTGAAGCCAACTGAGAATATGTGGGGGGGAAATGATATTTGAGTCTAGGCTGACCTGCAAATGTTTTTCTCCAAAGGAATTGTTCTTGGTTGTCAGGTTGTGATGGTTGGCTGGAGCCTGGGCAGATAATCTGCTGGGAGGAGAACTACTGGGAACTGCCCAACACAACTGTGGGATGGGTCTGAAATAAGGAAGGTTGTACTGAGCTATGTCAAAAAATGTCTTTTCTGGAGAAGGCATGTCACTGGCATCATTCCTGTAACCTTCCACGCCCCCCTTTTGTTACTGTTCCTGCAGTTGTCCCCTGTGTCGTGTCTCAGTGGAGCACCTGGAGCGGCTGTGCAGAGCCTTGCAAGACAACGTATCGTGTCCGGACCAGGCACATCGTTCAGGAGCCCAGGAATGGGGCAGAAGCATGTCCTGCTCTGGAGGAGAGGGCTGGCTGTGTGGAGTACTGGTCTCGGCAAGGAATGGAGTGCAAACAGTCCCTGAGTAAGTCCACTGAAAATAAAACTATCTGGGGGGGTGATTGTGGGGAGGACTCTGGTCTGAGTCAGCAGAGCTGATCTCCACTGGATTTGATGAGTTGTGTTCAGGCACCGTCCTGTTTGCCCTGGCCCTGCCTGGGTAAGTGAGAACTGAGCTCTTCACACAGGGCTTCGATGTGTCCTTGCCAGGACAGTGTTGGAGGTGGTGCCTGCCATGAGCTGTGTTCTGCTGTGTCTCAAAAGTGAGATATCACAGGCCTGTTGTGCTCTCACTCATACAAGTGTAAATCTCTGGCAATTTTGATAGGGTTGGCAGATATATGTCTGTTTAAAACTTCTGCAAGTGGATGCTGAACACTTTTTTGTCGTTTATATATATTTTTAAATTTTGTTTTATGCGTTATTTGCAAAAAGTCACAAAGGAGCAATACCTGTCAGACAAGATACGACTTCTCTGCACTGGAGCAGAGTGCAGGCAGAGGAGACCTCCAGTTAGTTTCTGGAGAAAAAGCCTGATTTTAGTTGGTTCAAATCAGCTTTTCATGATAGAAGTTACTGAGTTTTAAAAGAATTGCTTGTCATTTTTGCTGATTTTAGGTGTCAAAATTTGTCCAGTCTGGATGTCAGCAGCAGCTGACTTCTTCAAACCTGTTGAGAGTGGGCATTAAGTGAACATTGCCTCCCTGTCTGTCTTTTGGGTGTCCCTACAAGTAGGCTTACTCTGCTCAGGCAAAAATCTGGCAGCTCTACAGATTCTCCTTCCAGTGAATTGTTTGACTGTCACGGATAATACGAAAATACAAAGTTAGAATTGTTTTTGTCTCCTGCTGAAGATAAAGCCCTATGACATTAAAAGCCCATCTTTGCTGTTTTGCAGACGTAAGGAGCCTTAGTGCAGCATTGCCACTGACGCTCTGTACCCTTTCTCTTTGGTAAACACAGTCCCGGCATTAATCACAACAGGAGGATTTGGAAAGGCGAGGAAGAAAAGAGCTGCAGCTGATGGCAAGGAAAGAGCAGGGTAAGTTGTTACAGCCAAGCCCCCCTTGGCTGTCACATTGCCTGTTCTCCCCTCCAGCAGTTTCACAGCACAGGTACAGGCAGGGCTGTGGTAAAAGCTCTGTTGCTTTTTACCTTCTGCCATGGCTGTGTGTGCTGCCCTTCCTCCAGGCTGGTGCCTCAAACACTGGGAGCTGGCATCAGCCTTCCCAGTCCTCCTCTTTCCCAGCTGGGCTCCTCGCTAGCAGGGACACAGTGCTGATGGGAAAAGTTATCTCCCACCCTGTAACCCCTCATACACAGCTTTGCAAGCTGGTGATTCCCCAGGGGTTCTTCCTGCAGTCCTTGGGCTTGGCCTGCTTCTTTCTCAGGTTTGGCTGAAATCAGAAGCACAGAAGTGCTGTGTCAATTTGGTTGTCCTCCCACTGAGATGTGACAGCCTCACTCTCAGGAGGGAGATCATGACAGGAAAACCTTTACAGACCGACTCTTAGGTCCTGTCACAAGCTGCTCTACAAATCCATTATAGGTAACAGAGAAGAGCTGATAGAGAAGGTGTGGCTCAGCAAATGGATACCAGACTTGGGATTAGAGTAATCAAATGCTTGACCAATCTATGTCTCTATTTGTATTTTTAACATGTCAGTTGAAAACACCAGCAGAGTAGTTTTATTCCCTATTTAACCTTATTAAAATGCAAGCACACCACGTGTTCTGCTCTTTATGACCTCTTGTGTGGTTTTTTTTTTGGTTTGGTTTGGTTTGGTTTTTCTTAATTAGTGATTTATGGTCTTTCAGTTTAGTCTGGCTCTCCTGTGGAGGGCTCTAGCCTGGTTATTGAGCTGAGTGACCCTCTCAGTGACTTTGGTTGCAGGTACTGTGTTGAGTTCCAGCTGGTGGCCATCGCGCCGGGCTGCCTGCACAGCCACCACTCGTACACCCGCTGGATGCGCTACCTCAGGGAGGGCCACACGGTCTGTGTGGAGTGTCAGCACCCGGCTCTGGACTCCAGAAGTCATCATTGCTCCGGGGATGGCACTGGGAGCAGAAAGTAAGAGTTTTAGCTTTTGTTTTCGTGTTGAATTTTCCATTCTTCTCCCTTGATCCACTTGTTCCAGTGTCCCAAGGTGCTCCACGGAGCTCTGTAGAGCACTCTGCATATATTCACTGCTCCTTGTGGCTTACCATGAGTTTTTTTAAGAGTTGAAATGACCTGGTGAAGCTCATGTATTAAAACAGGGGCAGAGCCAGGACTAGGTGTGGGAGTACCTGCACTTAGTCTGCTAAATCTCACTGGCTTCGGAGTGGCACAGTTGTGGAGATTTTTTGTTTTAAAGACACTCCAGCCAGGCTTTTAAGGTTAACAGTCCTGTCAGATGTCAAATAAAGCCAACTCTGTTTCTGATTTTTCAGCACTGGGGATTTTGTTTCTCCAAGTGACCCTTTTTGAGTACTTGGGGTGAATGGTAGCTGGCTTAGGAACTTGGGGTATGTGCTGGCACCTGAGGTTGGCTGGAAGTACTGGCAAGTCTGTGCATTCAGTATTCTTTCCCTGGAGAGCTGAAGAAGCTTTGGGGTGATTGATTGGCACTACCCAGGTCGTACAAATTGGGTGGACTTCAGCAAAGATGAAGGGAATGGCTTGAAGCTGTGAAACAACTCTGGGGCAGAGCCAGCAATGGAGGGGTCCTGGCTCCCAAACCTCTGTGGTGGTCACTGGAGGCACAATTCTGCACTGCTTTAATCCTGGTACTCCCATTGCTGTTTATTAAAGGCATCCTCTGAAGCTGATTAGCAGCCCTGCCTGAGAAAATCGTTGCCCATCAGTGCTGGGCAGGGATATATTTAAAACTTATATAAATGTTGAAATAAGCACGTTGGTTTGAATTAGAAACTCTAAACTAGGATTGTCAGGCCTGAAGCACACAATGTGTTGCACTACCAAGACTGCCAATAATGGCCTTTGTGGGCAGGGTTTTTCTCAGGCTTTCAGGATGAGGAAGTCACTTTAGAGTTTGTTCCTTCTCTCTTCAGCTTGTTATGTAAGCTTTTAAGATAACGAAGGAAAAAATTTGAACTGGTGTGGCCAAGAGTAGCTGTTATCTGCATTCAACCTGTAAATGATTATAAAAGCTTGCAGTAACGTTATTTACTAAAACTCTGGAGCCAGTCAGGAGCATCAGATTAAGCGAAATAAAAAATATTTTCAGGAAGTAATTTCTGCATTGGGCTGCAAAAAGAGGGGGGCATTGTCATCACCTGGTCTGGTGCACAGCACTGTATGTGGAACAGAAGGACAAAGGAAAGGGGACTGTGTCCTGTAGGAATGATGACCTGATCCTCAAATGCTGGCAGGATGGAGACTGGAGGGAGGCAGCGATAATGGAGTTGGGGTGAATGGTGACTGGTTCACTGAAGTCAGGACTCAGCCCATGGCTCAGCAGGTAGTTTAAATCCATCAGAATTGAGTAGAGCCTAGAAATTGTCTGTGTCACTATTTGAGCTTAGGGTGGTGGGTCACGGAGGTTGTCCAGGGCTCAGTATCTCGCTTGACTTTCTTATCAGCATCTCAAGTGAAGTGTTTACTATAGGTATATTCTTTATGTGAGCAGAGCTATCCTCTCATTTGTTTCCAGAAACAATATACGTTTTTTACCAGGTGTCTTGGAGGAAAAACCTCTGTGATCTCTGAGAAGAAACTGGACTGTTGGGAACAGCCATTGAGTGGGATGTGGGAAATGTCTGTGAAAAGGCATTCCATTAGACAGAGGGTGATATGTGAGCATTCAGGCTTGTGAGAGGGCAGTGCTCTGGGGCTCCTCGGGCTGGGATTTGCTGTCCAGCTGTGGAGGGTGTAAATGTGATGCTTGTAAAGAAAGCTGGAAGAAGATGGGAACACAACTGCTGCCCTGAGAAAGAGGGTGGTGGGGAGGCCAAGGCTGGTGCCAGAGTCTGGGATGCAGCATGTGCTGAGATTTTCTCCATCAGCTCACAAGTCACTCAGTGCACCCTCAGCTGGACTTTCTGCTGCCGTGACTGCACCCAGAGCCGTGGGCAGGGTGTGGCTGTGCCCTGTCCCTGTGCAGTCCCAGGTCTCCACGTGCACAGTGTCCCACCCACACCGTGCCTGTGCTTGGCTTCCCCCTTGTGCCAGCGTTTGGTTCCCTGAAATATTGTTCCGAGAGTGACTCTCAGGAAGAGAAACAGCTGACAGAGTTTAAAATAAACTCAGCAATGCTGGTATATTTTGATGAGTATTTCCTAATTATCTTCTTGTGTCTAAGTGGAGTCTGGCTTATAAATGCTTCAAGTTGAAGAGAGATGCTTGTTATCTCTGCCTTCCACCTGTCTCCCACTCTGTAAAAGATGCTATCCTATTTTAACCCCTGTTATGCAAGCTCAGGATGTTTCCCAAAGTCCTTTGTGTATGGCCAGATCTGGGGCCACCAGGTGAGGATATCTAGGATAATCTAGCTTGCATTGCCTTTTTTGTTCTAGAAAGTTATGGGATCAACAAGGCAGAGCATTGAGCTGGGAAACAGATCTGCTAATTTTGGATCCTCTTCTAGAAGATGTACCAATAAAGCACAGACTTGACATCTGTGAAACTGTTACCCTGTGTCTCTGAGGATCAGCTGCTCCTCATCATCTGGAGCAAGATGTGGACTTGCAGCACATGAATGTCCAGACTGCAGCAGTTTGTGCCCATGTTGGGGGGGTAGGAGGAGGGAGGATGGATGGACTTGATTTGACCTGATTTATAGCAAAGTCGATATTTGCCTTCCCCACCAGCAAAATGAGAGTAAACAAGTTGAGCTTATGTGTTTAAGGAGTAAAGGTAAAGCTGCAGCCCAGAGTTTTGAAGGGTATGGGACTGCTCTGTGCACAGCCGGCTTTATCTGGAATCTTAATCCTCCCTGTGCAGATTCCGGTATTTTGAAATGACCCCGAGCCAAAAGAAAAATACAGCGAGCTTTCTCCAGGCATGTGTGACACATAAATCCCTGCTCTGGAGCATGACACCTCATTAAGCCAAGGGCAGGGTTATCTTTGTGGAGCTAGAACAGCAATTCCAGTTTCCACAGAACTATAAACCAAAGAGAGTTGGGGGTCTGCTGGGCTGTCTGTGGGCAGTGCTCTGCACAGGGCCAGAGTTGATCTAGCTGTGGTATTTGTGCTTCTCCAAATGTCAGGGCTGGAACACAGTGATGTGAGGAATTTCCTTAAACCACTGAATGCTAAAATCTGGGAATGGGCACAGTGCTACAGCAAAATCTCCATTTCTGTGGCTGTGAGGTTTTACTTCTCACTTGTACGACCTACAAGCCTCCCCGTGACTGCTGCCTCTTCACAGTGGTAGAAAGGCAGAGCTGGGGCCATGGAGTGAAAATGGATGTTGTCAGACTCAATGGGATTTCCTGGGTGATTTAAGCCCTCGTTGTGACCTCCCTGCTGTGGGGGTGCAGCCTGCTTACTGCCTCCTTCTGATGACTGTGTTTCAGGAATCAGCTGTTGCACTGGCAGGCGGTGGGGAACCCTCGATGCAAGGGAACCTGGAGGAGAATTCGCCAGCTGGACACTTGCTCCTGCCCTTCTGTTCACAGCTTCTTGTTCATCTGACTTCCCCAGGCGGCCCCAGCGCGCCAGGGCTGTGGTGCCACGTCTGGCAGCAGCAGGAGCCCCAGGCAAAGCAGCGACTGCTCCGTGTCAGAGGGGGCACCCAGAATCCTCTGTCTGTCTGTGCTCCTCGATTTCCAGAGAAATCAGGCTGGCTGGGAAGTGCCAGTCTCTTTCTTTCTTCCCTGAGAGAGACTTGTCTGACCCTGATGACTTCTCGCAAATTCCTCCTTTCTTGAGAGGAATGAGAATTTACCAAATAGCAAATGCAATGGTAAAGGCCGTAAGAACCCAGGTTTAATTATTCTTTTTCTGAAGTCTCAATGAAGAATCAACAATGCAAAGTAAATTAACAAGTGCCTTCATTTCATGGCAATAGCACTTTGTAGATGCTTTCCTGCTTGTGCTTGTGCTATCTTTCCCTTCTGTTTTCACCCTCCCTGGTCTCATCATTTCACACTGACCCTCATTCTTACAGAGGGTTGATCTTGCACTGCTGAGTTAATGTCAGAACTTAGAAATGAGTCTGCTCAAATCTGTGAGAATAGAAGATATCAGGGACAAATTGGCCCTTGGACTTAAGGTTTCAAGGAGCATCTCTTGAGTTGCCCCAAAGTGCAGTGCAGTCCTGGGGCTCTAAATAGGAAGGGCTGGCTATAGCCTTGTGTTTTGACTGGGAAATATTTGAAATATTTTCCTTAAAATCTGCTGATTTATATTCATACTTTTCTATAAATGAAAATAAAGAGGCTGAAGAATAATCCCAGTGTCTGTTTGATTAATCTGTGTGATGCCATCTCTTTTAGCACCTGAACCTGCCTAATTTGTTCCAGCCTTGCCACTGACTCTTCTTCTCCAGCAGGTCGGGCTGAAGGACAAGTCACTGCTGCCCAGAACTGCTCAGGATTTACAGGTGGAAGTGCAGCACCACGACCTACCACTGTGCAGGAGTGGATGTGATATTTCTTTTGTTATACACGTGTTTCTGATCTACTTAAAACAAAATGACAGAAAGGGCTTCGTGCTTTGGGGCAGAGGCGCTGCAGGATGAGATCGAGGTCATTCCATCTGTCAGGTGAGAGGCTGGGGCTGGCTCCAGAAGAGTTTTAATGCTCAAGTTCAACTCTAGTCTGGAATAGGATCACAAAAGCCATCCAATGACTGTGCTGAAGGTCTTGCATGGAGACACGAATGAACAACGAGGCACTGAGTGCTCTGAAAGTGCCTGATGTCCTTGGCCAGTGCAGTAGGGATTGGAGAGCAAGGTTCTGCTTCTCATTATGTGTTACAAGCTGGCTGTGGATTAAAATGACTCACAGGGGGATGATCTCATCCCTGAGTAGCAAGATTTTAAGACCAAAAAAAAAAAAAAAAAGTCTTGTATTTCACTGTGTCACATAACCTGTGATGAACTTGGGGCTTGTCCCAGGAGCACTTGCTGGTGTGCGAGTGGAGGGATGTGATCCCAGAGATGGGCTGGGAATAAATAAATGGAGAAGGTAATTTCGGTTTTTGCAGTGAAGATTTCTGTCAAACTGAAAGCCAATTTCATCCCTTGGTGGGGATCTGTAATCAGAGTAGCATTTAGTCATTGGAAGGTTTTCCTTGTCCTGCAGAAGCCCCTTATTGAGCCAAGGGACCCTACAGAGGTGGGTGGTCATTTCAGGAGCAGAAAGGAGCCAGCTATTGGAAATGTTTTTCAAAATCTACCCAAACTCTTGATCACATGAAACCCTGCTTTTAGCAGATGCTTTCAGAATTGAGGACTGAAGCTATAAAAGATGCAATTTTTTGCTTAGTAATGCCTAAAAAACTGAAGGGGTTTTCCACAGGGGTTTCCTTTGCTGCTGCCTCATCCCTGAGAGCTGATAACATGAGGTGCTATGAAGAGCTGCTGGTGGTGGCATGGTAGGACAGTGTGTTCCCTCCTGTCACTGTAGCCTGGGGATGCAGGAGTATGAAAGAATTAGCCCCCCAGGGACTCTCATAGCAGCTGTATCTCTGCACAGGCTGTCACTTGATGAAACAAGACATTGCAAACATCTCTGCACCAGCACATCCTAAAAAGGGCTGTGCCATGTGCTGGCTTCACCTCCACACCTTGTGTGACTGCACAAACAAATCCTGTTGGTAAATTCCTAGGGGAAGGAAGTGTGTGTGTGTGTGAGAGAGAGAGAGAGAGCAAGACTGAGCCTTTTAAGTAGATAATGAAGCTGTCAGATCACTTTTCAGGCAAATGAAAATTAGCTCATGGTGTTGACACATACTGGGTCCTGCCTGGTTTCACTCTGGAAGCTTTATCACCACCCATCATAACCTCCATAATTTCTACTACCTGAGTTTTAGGAAAGGTGGAAATCCAAGGCAAAATGCTCCTGAGAAATGGCTTTGTACGGTAAACAAGCAAGGCAGCCACGCGTGGAGGAGAGGCTGCTCTCCGAGGAGCAGAGCCGTTCCCATGACAACGCTGAAAACCCTCCACCATTGGGTATCAACAGGAGAACATCTCCCACGGCAAACACACGAAGCCAGGGGCTTAGTCCTCATGTGCCATAAATCATCCTGTTGGGCGCTGATAGTGCAGAACTGCCAGTTGTGCTCAGGCAGCTCCACCTTCCAGGCACCCTCCTGGCTCCGGATGAAAGGAGGAGCGAGTAAAGCCGAAGCACCGGTGAGTCGGATTTACGTAAAAGGAAAATTAGGCTCAACTGATGTCCCTGCACTTCCCTCTGCTCACCAGCTGAGGATCTCAATTTTTAATGATGAAAAGCCGAGCAAAAAAATCCAGGCTGTTTTAGAGGCTGCTGAAGAAGTCCTTTTCTGTTGGAGAGAAATCTTTCATCGTCATGGGGAGGAGGGAGAATTGTGCTTTTCCTCACCCTAACCCTGTAGTGTCCAGCCTGGGATTCAGCAGGTTTTTTCTACATTTGCAACAGAAGGTCATAAAAGACCATTTTTTACATGGTCTCTTCAGTAGGTGCCCTGGTATCTAGGATTGCAGTCATCTGAATGTATGTGGGTCTGCTTCCTTCCTTCAGGAAACAGTCCTTGTGCATTTAGAGACAAGAGATGAAATATGCCCAGAAAGCTCAGGAGCCAAAGGTAAAGAAAAAGAACAACAACAAAAAAAGTAATTTTCTTAAATAGTTTTGTTGCTCTGAGGACAAACTGTTTCTTTTGCAAGTTGAGCCAGCTCTGCTGGAGTGGCAGGAGTCAGCAATACTTCTCAATAAATGAGACTATTCTGTTTTCTTTAGCTTTCCAAACCTACTTTTTTTTTATCCTTCACTTTGAGTATTTTGAGCCTTTAAATATTAAGATCACTGAATCTCTTCTCTCTTTTCTCCTTTACTTTTTTTTCCCTTGTCTGTCTTTTTTTTTTTTTTTTTTTTTGTGAGGAAATTTAGAAGTTCTTTCCAGTTTTAACATTAGTTGCTTGGTGATAGTCGTGATACTGCAAGGGGAGGAGTATGGGTGAGAAAGGAGAGGAGAGCCTGAACCAGCAGAGATGATTCTGTTCTGTAAATGTGTCTCCTGCAGCCTAAAACTACAAACTCAAATATGAGAAATGTAAAAAAACCCAAACCAAACAAAAAACCAAACATAACCAACCAACCAAACAAACAAAACCAAAACCAAACAAAACACCAAAAAAACCAAACCAACAGTCTGGTTCTCCCATTCTCAAGCTGGGTGAAATATTGACATCAGAAGAACCAACTCTTTACTTAAAATCAGGGGTGGGGGGGAAATCTTATGTGGAATCAGCGTGACAAGCAGATGTTCAAAGTTCTTATTGCAGAGTTTTCTAGAGTGTGGAAGAATTTCCTGTTTAATCTTACTCTGCATTCTGCTCCATGTTCCCACTTTACTCCAAACCCCACCACTCGAGGGAGAGTCTCAGTTGCTTAGAGCAGGGGCTTTCCACAAAACTGGGAGTGGATTTTCCGGAGGCTCTGAGGAGGTCGGGTGAAGCTGAAGGTTTAAGTGCTGTCCCTGCTTTGAGCAGCCTGTGCTGTGCCAGCAGGAGCCCAGGGGAGGTCAGAGGGTGGGGCCAGTGGAGTCCACCCTGGGCTCACAGCTGTCTGGAAGGGTGGAAAATGGCCAGATCCACGGAAGGAAAAGTCAATTATGGAAGGTTTTGGTCAGCATGACTCCATCACCTGTTGATCAAAGGTGAGAGGGAAGGGGGGGAGTCAGAGATGATTTAAGATCCCAAATTACAATCAGACCTGCTTGTTCTCAAATCTCTGCCTTAGAGCACAAACAGAGGGAAATAAAAAACCCAAAACCCAGTTCTCAAATCAGCTCGTGTTCAGGCTGCTCCTCAGCCTCTGCCATAGGGGGGAGATGGTAAAGCTTAATAAGGAACTTCATCTTACACAAGATCCTGGCCCTGTAAACCGCTGCGTTATAATTGACTGTGTTAATTTGTGTGGTTAGTTTGCTCCTTTTCTTAATCTTTGCATCTATTAATTATTGCAGAACAGTCCTTGCTGATAACTCCCCGGCAGTTTGTGCTGCTGTTCTGAAATTATAAAATGATGTAGTTGGCAGGATGGGTACAGACATGTACAGTTAATTGGCTTTTTGCAGAAGGAAATTGCATAGTATAATAATATGCCCAGGGTGCCATGGGAAGTGCAGGTTCTTCTTGCTTTAGTAAATAGGATTGGGAGAATATGAGTCTGGATTAGCTGCCGTCTCGGAATTTATCCCAAACTTGTGGAGGGTTTCAACCCCTTGTCACTGAGCCCTGGAGTCAGAAACTCATTGCTGGGAGAGCTCCTGTTGGTTTTCCCCAGCCCACTCACGTAGGTAACAGGTTTAACTGCAGAGAACCAGGGTCACTGCTCTGGTTGGAGGCTGTGCCTGGAGTCCCAGGAATCACACGATGGGAAAACGTGGTGGGTTGTGGGGGCTGGCGAGAGGTGGGCTGGGAAAACCTGGAGCTTTGCTGGGAGGACAGAGCACTTCTTTTCTCACCTCTTTCCTTAGGAATTAGGATTGAAGTCACAGTGGAGATTTTTCTAAGTGAGAATGAATGTTTTTCATCTCCTGCTAAATGCAAGTCTCAAAACCAAGGCTTTTTTGTGCTGGTTTTTTTTTTTTTATTTGTTTGTTTGTTTTTCCCTAACTTGAATGCACAATCTTGGGTCAACTTGGAAGGTGTTGCACAAACTGGGCAGCTTTGGTGTCTGCAAAGACTTTCTTAGATAAAAATGTGAACAACTTGAAGGAAATTTGAAGGATAAATGGTGGTTGAAGGTTTATTTCTGGTAAGAAGCCATTTCCTTTGAAAAGAACAACTCATCCCCCAAAAAGTCTGAGTAGCAAATGCTCCTTATTTCTACCTGCTGCCTTATTTGAAAACATCAATAATTTGATATCGGGCTCAGCACTTTGATGTCTCACAAGCGCTGTTGGCTGCAGCAGGGGGGCAAGGCCTGTGTTCAGCTCCTGGTGCGGCTCCTGCACCCCCCTGGACTGCAACTCTTCTCCCTTTCATCTTCTCAGCTGTCACAGGGGGGTTGTAAACCTTCCCCTTTCTGTGAAGGGCTCAGGGTCCCTCAGAGAGATTCTCTGGGTGTGGGCATAGCTCATCCCCTCCTACGTATTCGTGCAGCTCCTCCAGCCCTCCCACTGATCTCATTAAAGCTCTGTTTCTATCAGTTGGGGATTTGCAATATTTTTTTTTTTTTGGTTTTGCTGTTCCTTCTGGTTTTTTTGCATCACCACTC